CTGGCTGTTCGATATGCTGGAAGTGAAGCTAACCTCGACTGGAGAAGCAGGATGGCGGCAGTGCAGAGAAATTGTCGAGATTCTATCTGACTGACTAGGGGCCCCAGGCCTTGTTGTCCCAGGGCACTGATGTGGCGGATCCCTTTCCCTGCTACTTCATTTTTGAGGACCAGACGATAGAGCCTTCGGAACCAGGCCTAGCCTGGGCGCCCAACTACTCCTCGCCTAAAGACCAATTTCAGCGTGAGAGAGAAGTTTGAGGAGGAGATGGTGGTGGGCGTGAGGAGAAGGCCAAGAAACGGCTGACGCGTGACGCTGCCCATGGCGTCAGAGTCAACCATAGGATCAAGTGCCGGTCGGGCCCTTGGAGCTCGAAAGCAGACGCAACTACTCTTAGAGATGATGGATAGGAATGAGGTCGCCTTCTCTGTGGGTGATTTATCGAACGCCCATAGGCGCTTCAAACATTGCGATAAACAACATGGTCTCCTAAGATGCCAGCTTGATGCCGAGATGGAGAGGGTAGCTTTTGGGTCTACATCAACAAGGTGGGGACCTTTGGCGTTAGTGGGCAGGCCTTCGAGCTACCCGCCGCCTGACAGGCTCTTGTCCTCGAGACCTCCTCCTCTTATCGGCTACGATTCACCGCGAAGACGCGAAGAGATCCCCTTTATAAACTCCTGGCTGAGGGAAAAAGTCAAGGGTGGCCTTGTGACTGGCCCAGGGACTGGGCCGGCTTGGCTTTGCTGCGCTTTGCTGCGATATCCCTTGACTGGGAGAGTTTCTGGGCCCGCTATATGCCCGGTCCTCAGGTCCAGGGCAAGCCATGCTCCATGAAGATATTCAGGATGCTGCGGACTTTCTGTCTGGATAGCGGATCGTTTGGAGAGGGGATCCCGGCTGCAGAGACCGGTGTCACCAGCTGGGGGCTATGTTGCTCTTGCTATGCAAAGGCAGAGCCTGGATATAATAGAAGGTGTCCTGCAAATAGTCCCAGGGTGCCAGGGGCTGTAGTGCTCCTTGGAAGTGGAGAAGGCCTGGGGTGTGCGGGCCTTTGCTACAGAGCCGAAGAAAGCGCAGATATCCCGGGTAGCTATCATGAGCCAGGGTATACACGGACAGTCAGTCCAACGAGGCGCTGCCAAAGAAAAGTATGATTACAACATTTTCGTCAGATATTCCCTGAGCTAGTCGAGGAGCTAGTGGCTAAGCAGTGCGACCTCCAGCGAACGTGGATTCGAAGGGATATCAACCAACTGGCGGATGATCTCACGAATGAGAAGTCTGTTAGCTTTGACGCCAAGTTCTGGATACCCCTGAAGGGGTGGATCTTAGATGGCGGGGCTTCATACACTGTTGGCTTACGCGGATGGCTTCTACAGTGAGCTACAGACGCTAAAAGCATCGGCCGGGCGTGGACCCGTGCGAGAGTTTGGCAAATCCGAATGCTAAAGCCATGGTAGCCCGAAGTGGCTTCGCTATGGAGATGGCCCGCTAAAGGTGGGAGACCTCTCTCGGGCTAGACTCGGATATTGTCACCATGAGAAAAAGTGAGAGCACGCTGCCGTGTGATCACCTTCTTCATGAAGTGATTTCTTTCCAGATATGTTGATAACTCACGATTTCTACACAATTTGTTGGAGTTTTGGTCTCAAAGCCGGTGGCACTTTCGTAACGATCCAAACGTTTCGGATGCTAGGATTACGTGGCAAGAATTGGTTTTTGACTTCATAGGGGAGTTTGGGATTGTCAAGGGTTTGTTTGAGCCTCATACCCGCTTAAGCCTCCTAACCCGACGATTTCGTGATCAATCTGTCAAGCTGCTTGCAGCAGCTGGAGCGCCTGTTGTTGGGCTCACTCGTATCCCCCATCTAAGGTGTTTTTCCGGCGGTAATGCAGCAGGCATTTGCGCGCGTAGGAACTTTAAGTGTCCACAGGTTGTTTGGGGGTTTTTAGTCCATCATTGTTCAAACAATTCCAAGCGCCTTGCACTTGCGCAGAACCGCCCTAATGCTTATTACACCCCATCCTGGGATTTCCTTCCTCAATAGTGTGTTCGCCTCCTCTTCGTGATGTTGACCCCTTCTTCGGCCTTAATTCATTTATGTATGTATTTTAGTCTTATGTCGCAGAGCTCTGCTCTCAGCCGATGGTGGATGTTGCTTCGAGGCTCGCGTGGCTGGCAAGTGATCTGCTGTAAAGAATGTTCTGATTTATAAAGTTGGCAGATATTCTGGAAGACATAGTTTGGAACACGGAACTCCTAAACTTCCGAATCTTCCCTTAATGCCAGGCAGGTAGCTCAGGGGATGGTGGAGGGTGATAGGATAACTCTAGTGCACCAAGTTGATCCTTTGGCTTTGGTCCTGGTCGAGTTGCACTAACGGACTTTGCGCCACTTGAATTGTGCTTACCTGACTTTGTATCCGTTGGAGTTTCAGGCATCAGAAATCTGTCCGGCCTTGTGCCCGTAGGTTACGTAGTCTGACTGTAGGGCTTTTGCTGGACTAGCTTCTTTTCCGCCGCTTGAGTCAACAGGAGGGATCTGCGTGTGTTGTATCCACTTAGTTTCCGTCCTTCTTTCATAAGCATGCGTAACGGACTAGTCCTGCACGAACGGGAGGAGGAAACATCCAAACTGCGCCGACAGATTTGCGGTAGCGTGCTGGAAAGACAGCACTCTTGACGGAATTTTCGCTTATCTGCGTGAGATCCTTCCTACTGATGAATATTTGGGAGTCTTGGGGTTCTGCAAGCTTCGGTACCCTGTTGCATATATGTCGCCACCGAAACATCTCCGAGTTGATTTGCGCAGGCTTTTCAAGGACTCCGCAAGTCGCAGTGGAAATGAAGAGGATCATGAGGACGCAGGACAGCGTGGTGTGCAAGCTGTTCACATGAAGGGCGTGAAGCCGACAACGCTGCAGCAATGCTCGTTCCTGCGCATTTTTCGACTCCTGCACATCAGTGCAGTGCACATCCTTATCTTGGTTGCTCATACCGTTCTTCTTTTTGTTGACGATTGCATTCTCTTGTCAAGAATCCACTATACCAACTACAGGTTCCATGATTTTTTTCATTCAAATTCGGGGATTCCACGGACAAAAATATTTCTGTTATCATCCGGCCATGTTTGCTTGCAGGAGGCCACGCGCAATGAAATCATGGGCGTGGTTCAATCCTTCGAAAATGGCTATTCAAAGACGGATCTTGAGCAGTTGGCTGGGCTGTGTATGAGCCCCAGGATGCGGTCCTCTTTTCTTTTTTTTCACATTTTACCATGACCATTGGTGCCCAACTGCAACAAAATTTCAGCATTTACGCTGAATCTTGGCAGTCATTCCTAATCCATTGCAGTCCCTCGTTTCCTGGATGAGGGGCTCCAGGTCTCCCTCATTTGGGACAGCAAACGTTGGAGCCAAACTGCTTGCAGCTCGGCATGAAAACATCAGGTGCAAAACTGACTTGGCCAAGATCAAGCTAACGCACGGCGAGCTATGGCTCGGTGATGCAGTGTGTTGCCAATTCCCAAAGCTTTCGGAGGAGGTTGCCCACAATTTCCTTGCCTTCTTGTGCAATTTGCAGCACTGGCTGCTAGCCAGAAGCCCAGGTGCCAGCATGTGACCTCTGCCAATTTTGGTGGCTTCGGGGTCGAGATGTTCAGGTGGATGCCTCGAATCAAACAATGTCAAGGCTGATGCATTGTCTCGGCTTGAGGAATGTCCTATTTTGTGGATGTTGCCGACGGTTAGCGGGTTAACTTGTCACCGCGTAGTCAAGGTCGCAGATTTCTTTTTCCACCGGGTTCCCACTTGTTTGGATAAGTAGCCCGCACCGATTTGAGGGAGGTGGGGGAGGTTTTGGCTGGGCAACAAGTTTGGTGATTCGCATTGCCCCACAGAACCACCAACAGTCTTTGCATGTTTGGCACTGGAAAGCAAGTCTGCGTGCTTTCTTGAATGACTCGAGTTGACTGTCAACTAGATCCACACACACATTTTACGTTGAAGTTTGTCTCCGCAAGCGCGACTTGATTTCTGAGCGGAACCGATGCTGTCGGTGATCTGCGAAACTGACTGGGTACCCCTGTTCGCCACATCAAACAATGCAGGGCGCTAAATGCATCGTTTGAATATGTTTGAATATTGGATGCAATGCGAGAATACTTTGCAATATGAACTTTTTAATTTCCGTTGCAGAATGTGCGTCTCACATGTTAAACATGTGATTTATATTCCGGCAATTTTTTTTTAAATAAATTGCGGAAATGAACGAACAAGGCTCTAAAGCAATCAGTGCAGATATGGGTTTCTGAGCCCGAAGCCCCGTCTAAATTTGAATCAACACAAAGTGAAAACTATCCGATAATTTTAGGGTCCCAACATCAAAACACATTATTGTAGAGGACTTTCTATCATTACCCTTTTTCAAAGCGCCTTCAAAAGAATTATCCTCTATAAAAACCGGCGGACCCAACATTAATCTTCAGACATCAAAGCCAAACCTAATGTCACACGTCGCATTTCTGACATCAAGAGCGTTGACAACAAACACTGTTGGCATTTTTTTTGTCCTGATGATGCTTTGGCTCGGGTGGTGTTTACAAGAAAGACTCGATTTGCAGGTGTGGAAAGGCGATTTAGCGTAACAAACGCCCGAAAATACTGCTGTATTGGTGGTTTGATGCATCCTAAAAAGTGTTAAGGTTTTGTTGAAATCATCGGCTTGCCTTGTTCGGAGTTTCAGAGGCTGTTCGAGGTTGGTGCTGGATGTGTGGCTTTTTGCTTTCGAGTCGTGGCACCTTGGCAAGTGCGGGGTGCTGTTGGTGACCTTCAGTAACTCAGAGTCCTTCGCGTATTTTCGCCTTTGTTCTTGGAAGCTGCAAGGAAGCTGCAACTTCCGTAGTGCATGATGTCTCAAGGGCAGGCCCGTTACACCATCTTTTTGGGTAGCCTGTCTTGGCCCAAGCACTTTACCCCTTTTAACCCGCTCCTGCATCAATGAATGTCGGATATGCTGGGCTGGTGTTGTTACACAGATTTGCAACCATGTTCCCAACCTGCTACTCAAGTGTGTTCCCTCCTGAGTCCGACGCAATTTTTTTCAGTCGAGTTGATGAAGGTGAGCTCGATCAGCACATGCCGTTAATCCATGCTTGCCATCACGTGCCACATCACAGCTGCAGAAGCAGGGAAGTTGGTACCTCCACCGAGGTAACATTCTTGCCGTCATCTTGCTCTATATGCCCGCAAGCTACCGCCGCATCAACAACCATGTTCGCAGTGGCAAGGTATGATGGAGTGGGCGAGCGCTTGGTTTCGGCAGTGATGTACCTGGCATTTGCTTCGTTTTCTAACCTATCCTTCGGGGGGTTTCTTTACAATTCCTCTTTCGACGACGAACAAAACATTCATGGGATGAATGCAGCAAGTACACTAGATATCATGTCTGTGTACTTGGGCAGCAATGTTTCACAGCTGAATTTACGAAGCTCAGACCCGCGTTTTGATCGCTGTTGGAGGGGACTCCCAGAAGGCAGAACGTTGGCGATGAAAGGCCTGAAATCCGTCCTGGTGTATGACCAGTGTAGAGCATTGAGCCTGAGAAAGGACTTGTTCCTTCTCAGCCAGCCATTTCTGAAAGCTCTGCGCCAGTCAACACAGCTTCTTCGTCATCGCGCAGACTTCTTCTGTTCACGCCATCTCAAGGTGGCCATTCACCTGCGCCGAGGTGATATATTGCGCACCACACGATCATGGTGGCCTGGGAAGGATCGAATGGTACCGGATTCGCTATACATGAATCTGCTCAGGCTGCTGAGGCAGCTGCTGGGGTCCGCCACGGAGATTCACATCTTCTCTGTAACGAGTAAGAGCTTTCCCAGTACGAGTTTCAACAGCTACAGACACTTAGGAGCACAGGTCCACTTGGATGGTGACATCCTGGAAGACTGGGCACATATGGCACAAGCCGATGTGTTGATCGTCGCTCCCAGTGCCTTCTCATGGGTTGCAGGTTTACTGAATTCGAAATGCGTGGTGGCTTTGAAGTCCTATCCCTTCGGGTACTTGCCAAAATGGATTCGATTGAGCGATGATCTCAATGAAGCAGATCATATATTGTCATGCATCCACCAGAAGACAAACATGAAATTTTAATTCTTGTTCCTGTGCATATTCGCCATTTTTCTTTTGACCGCTCAGCCTACTGGACCTCATGTCGACAGCGTGCAAAATCAAGAGGTGCTGGCAGATGCAAGCAGGTTGATGACCCAGACTACGTGACTAGGACAAGGAATGCTTCAATGCAGGGGTATGCAGATGACCTAACATTTAGGCATGCGTGAAGGATGACCGAAATTTGATCTGGGCTTAGGGTGCTGTGGTCGTTGGTGAGGGGTCATTGATTATTTTCCGGTCTTGGTGCATCAAGAAGGAACCTTAAACCCTAAACCTTAAACCCTAAATCCTTAACCCTAAACCCCCATCAAGAATTGAGGGATGTCTGTTGTTGAAAGGATTCCAAAGCAGGGTCCTGGTGAAAATCTTCCAGCCGGGTCACAGTCTTGATCTTGCTAGTGGGAGGGTAGTGAGTGCCATGAATGTTGCCTGGAGAATGCTTTGTAGTAACTAGTAACATAACGTACTTCCACCTTGTGATCCATGCTTGTACCATATAACTGAGCACTTTTGTGTTTGATTGGAGTCGCTCTTAAGCACAAGTAAGTGATCCTCCACCATGTTTTTTTTGTGTCCTCAATCGATTCGGCAGCTCAAAGCAGTAGCATGCTGTAAAAGAGCCATTTGAGTACCAACAAAGCCAGCACTTAACACGTCAACACGTCAAACGGCGGACTTGGGACAGATATCCACCTCACTTTGTTTACGTAGAGCCGCTGTTTCCGTCATGTCGCTTCTGGCATCGGAGACACATGCCAAAGTCTCTTGGTGACTGCTTATCCACTTTTCCTCCAACCATTTCAAAGCATTTCAAAGCGCTGCCCTCCAGCACTCTTCCCCACATTCTTCACGAACCCATCACTCCGACAGTCGCATCGCATCAGGATGTGCTTGCGGTGAGTTCAGGTTTCGGCCGTCGACAGCTCCTTGCAAGCTGCCAGAGCCCTCACGCAACCCAATGACTTTTAAGTTGTTGGATCCAGGTCGAAAAGCATTTGGCACCTCTGCTGGCGAAGAGTTCAAAGGAGGCCTTGCGGGCTAGCCAGCCCAGCCAGTCCAACATGTCTTTAGAGGTTGATCCACAGTCGGCAAGCGTCAACAGCTTTTCTGCATGCAGCCAGCTTTCAAGCAAAGCCTCAGTGCTACTGACATTTCCTAGTTCATGGAGCGCTCGCTCCACTTCCTTGTGTTTGCATTTCATTTTCGTAGCATTTTTGCAGGTTTCCCGTCATTTGGCAGCCTTAGAAAATGCCGAGCTCCAGGCAGGACACTTGTTTGCAGGCTGGTGTTTCTAGGGCGAGAGCTAGGGTCCCGACACACTATTGAGCCATGAATATTGAAGCAGTGCTCGCTATGACTTGGGATGGACGGACATAAATAGCAGTTTTCATCTTCTTTTCCATTATCTCAATATAACCCCAATTTAACCCTAATATTACCCCAATGTATACCTATATACAGATAGCCTGGAGGCTTCTTGCATTTCTGATGAAACCACCGTCCGAGGTGAGTTTAGCATACGCTGCAGCATCGCTCTACTTCTGCCACCTCCTAACACAAGGACCTCGAGCATTTGCCACTACAAGTTCAGTCGTGGTTTGCAGTGTGGTCTTCTGTCTCTGGGGGAACCTTTCAGTAGGGACCCTTGTCCTTTAGCAAGTATGGAAAATTTAGTAGGTCTCAAATGCCACCATGGCCCAAGTGTGGTTGCTAGTATGGACTCAGATAGCCTCACAACAGTTGACAGACCTCTGTTTCATTGACGTATCTTACTCGGCCTCACTCGATATCACTCCTTTTCCTCAGCTTTTGTTTTTTTCGGGCAGCTTGAATGTTTCTTGGTTCAAAAAGTTAAGTTTTTAAAGCCACAGAGACTGAACAGGTGTTTCTCACTTTGAGTACGCAGCCTCTGGAAGACACCTGACGGTGTGCAGGCAAGCCTAGGCTCGCCAGCTTTGGTGTACTTGGTACACTTATTCTCAGCTCCTGCGCATACGGTCCAGTGGCGCAAACTCGTGCAATATATTTCTTTTTTGTCCTCCATTTTGGAAGAAGGCCCTGAGCAGCAACTTACGCCGAATCCTGTTGGGAACCTTGTCTAGCCCGTGCTTGGGAGCAAGCATTCGCATAATGAGACATGGGAATTTCCCAAAATAAGGGGACCCCAATATGGACCCCTAAATGCTATAGTCCTTATTATGGGGACCCCAATAAGGTACCCCTAATTCTGGGAAACCCCTACATACTTCAAACTAGCCGAAGGTGTTCGCAATTCTGCTTGCCTCGAAGTCGCACCTGCTTGTACACTTATATACATCAAGGCTCCAAAATTCTGCCAAGAACAAATGCTTCCATGAGCCTGATCGTGTTCATATTTTCATACTCCACGTAGGATGAATCAGCACTCCTGTATGCGGATCACTGCTACCTGGATCAAGTGGTCTGCCAGCCTTATGACTCATGATCTGGTACTGGATCTGGCACTGGGTCCACATGTCATTGCCATCCCTAACTATGACTGTCCGCCGTGCTGTCTGCAGCTGAGACTGCCGAAATTTTGGTAAAACACAACCACAAAATTCGTTGGTTGAGGACTTTGTGCCATTTGATGGGTTTGGCTTAGACCAGTTCATTGACTTGCAGAATGGAGTGCATCTGGCCGTTGCATCCTCCAAAGCTTGATATCGGAAGCTGACTTTGCAAGTAAATAACCTTGTATAGCCTGTGAACCCTACAAAACTTACATGACCCTACAGGAGCTTGTAAACCTAACATAAACATTACATAAACACATGTAACCTGTAATGTAACCTGTAAAATGTGTGCTCCAGCTTGGGCATACTTGCACTGAAGACTGGCAGGGCGCCCGTCATAAGGACTATTGTATTTTGGGGTCTATATAGGGGTCCCCCAAGTTGTGGAAACCACGATATCTTTCTTCAAGCTATTTCAAGTTCCAAAAACATAAATGGCAGATGTCAAGGGCCTGTGAGAACCCGATGTATTCAGTAGTCATGGATCAATAGCTGCCACCATGTCCATGAAACCCTGAAGATCAGTGTGCCATAAGGATAACAACATTGCTTGCTGCATATCAAATGTTTTGGTAACCCTTGTTTTGAGTTCCTTTGCAGTAATCCCGCACGTGGCTCTTGCATGGATGGTTGAAATCTCCACCAATGAGCAAAGTATTCTTGCGCAGCAGACCTCCAAAAAGCCCACTGGCGGCAACACGTAGATCTTCATTGCAAATGTATTCCATGCCTAATGAAAGACCGAAATCAGATCCATGCTGTGATCGCCAAGAAAATCGAGTACGTGCAAAATACGCCCAGACGGCACAACTTGAAAACTGAGGTTATCAGCGCACTGACAAGCTGCATTCAGCACAGCCTAAAAACGGTTGGCAGGGCCCCCCATTCCATTTTCTTGCCACATACCATGAAACAGTTGATTTTCCTCAAGGCTCCCATAACTCCTTGAACAAAGAGCATGTCCAGTGCCGGTTGTTCGGCTGGCCAATTCATCAAGCAGTCATATGCGGCAGTTGAGAACCCACCTTTGGTGTACGGAAGGGCTTAAAGCTGGGGCTGGAGCCGTGGAGAACTCATTGAACATGTTCTGACCACCTTTCTTTAAGAGGGATGTGCACTGCCCTTCATGGCCATGTCCTACGGTAGGCCCTTTTCTAAGTCGAGGTGTGCAGCTTGCTACGCAACCTAGTAATTATTTGAACATCTATGAATTCTTGCTCTGCGAGGTCCCAGCTTACTCATGGACAGTAAGCCAACTCCTGGTTCATGTAAGAAGAAATTCAATCATGTGCTGGCAGCGGCTCCTCCACAGAATTTGTATAGAATTAATGAAGCCATGGCGAGCTACCCTTCCATCCCCACACTTCAACCTTGCTCGAGCTGAGAGTCTTAGACTGAAGAGGTAGGAATTTTGGATGCTGAAAACTCCTGTGCACTCTCCGCAGGAGTGGATCCTAGCGATCATCCAATCCGACAGGACTTCTCCAGTGGCTAGAGGTAGGGTTTAGGGTTGAGGGTTTAGGGTTAAGGGCCCTCATAACAACCCAATTCCCCGAAGGATTTTGAGATTGAGGTTATTCTTTGCAAGATTTGGAGATTCTGGTGTGGGGTTCAGCGTCCGGGCTTGAGCCAGTAGTAAGTTAGGATGCATGCATTCATGTCAGTGTTGACCTGCAGTGCCTTCCATATGGGATAGTTTTTTTGGGGCTTCTAGGGTGTATGCTCTGGGCGCAGTATGTGCAGGGCATCAGTGGTTTCGGGGGTGTGTTGTTTACTGTGTGTTTCATGGCGAGTATTTAAGGAGAAGTTGTCACTGATTTGTGGCACATTCCTGCATCTCCTCGAAAATCTCGAGTTTCGATCTTCTTTTGAGCATGTCGGCCGCATCATAGCATCTCATAGCTTTTTTCGTCTGAGTCCTTTGTGTTGAGAGGAGCTAACCCTGCCCAGTAATGGTAGCATCCTTTCCGGAGGAAGAGTCCAAGTGGAACAATGGCGCGATTATCAATTGGTACCAAGCATACTCATAGGCAACACCCACCGACCTTAGGTTCAGCCCCTTAGAGGCTTCTTCCGTAAAGATGGTTCAGCATCATCAAGCGCATTGGGTGGTTCTCAAACCCTGCAAGCCCCAAAAACAGCAAGCAGATGATCAAGGGCAAAAACTCATGACGAAGGAGCTGGACCGAATCCAGCTCTATTTCAAAAAGGTTCGAACCGTGGCGGAGGAGGTGCGATGGGCTGCTTTATCACTTCTCAAGACTGCGGCCGTACCATGTGAACTCTAAACCAGAGCGAGTAATTTTTGAGAAGCTAGAGCTTGCACAAGCACAGCGAGTTATGTGTCAAGGGCTGGAAGGCCCAACCGCAAACAAAGTTCCTGCTCGTTAGACTTCAAGTAATTGCCCTCGAATTCGGAATGTTGCTGTGTTACTGCGAGGAATA